GCTAAAACATGGAAAGAGCCTAAGTGTCCATCAACGGACGAATGGATCAAGAAGATGTGGTGTATCTATACCATGGAATACTACGTGGCAATGAGAAACAATGAAATCTGGCCATGTGTAGCAACATGGATGGAACTTGAGGGGGTTATGCTGAGCGAAATAAGTCAGACAGAGAAGGACAGATACCATATGTTTGCACGTATAGGAGGATTCGGAGGAACTTAACAGAGGACCATGGGGGAGAAGAAGGGGGGAAATAGTGGGCGAGAAAGGGAGGGAGGCAAACCATGAGAGACTCTTGAATGCTGACAAAAACTGAGGACTGATGGGGGTGGGGGAGAGGGGAAGGGGGGTGATGGGCATGGAGGAGGGCACTGGTGGAGATGAGCACTGGGTGTTATATGGAAACCAACTTGACAATAAACTATTTAAGAAAAAAATAAGCTACTGTCAAATATTATGAAGGAGAATAATGGCTTCAGTCTTCCTTTTAGGAAGAGGGTATTTTTCAATTCTCCAAAACCTAAGAGAGTAACAAAGTAACGGTAGCAGCATAATCTCGTATGGACTGTCCCCCAAAGAATGTTACATAACAGAGATTAAAGCACAAAACACCACAATTTATACAATTTATCTTCCTTGGAAAATATGACTCCATAAGAAAATTATTCTAAAGAAAATCCCTTCCGTGTCTTTAGAACAGAAACAATATTACAACTGTTTCCTCTTGTGTAGACTTAGAGATCCTTGTCAGTGTCAACATCTGATAAGAGAATTCGTTAATTCTTTCTGTGATGTCTTCCTGTTCATGGTTTTAACGGCAGGCAATAAAGTCACAGCTAGTCAGCATCTGATGCAAACAAATGACTCGAATTCCATACTAGTATGACAAATACTTTCAAGAAAAGAGAGGATACGTCCGGAGAAGAGATGAGAGTTTCACATGCACTTGCAGATGTACGTGTCCCCATGAGGCTCACCTAAAATAAGTGTATTACTACTAGCCTGAGTGAACCTTTCTAAGATGTCTTTATAAAACTGACTTTGTTGTTTGTATCTAAATAAAGATATCCGTATTTCTGCCCTTCAACTCAAAACAGAACTGATACACTACAATATGTTCTTTAACGAAGTGACCTTGTTACAACTTTGACTTCGTATCACGAAGGGGATTTACTTATATAGTTACCAGGACAACCACACAATCAAAAGCTTTAGATAAAGAGGCACTTGTAAGGGCTCTTGTTAATCTAGTGATTTTGTTGAAAGTTAAATAGTAATTTTCTTTTCCATAAGTGTAAGACCTATGAGAAACATGGTTAGTCCGAGGGTTGCAAGGATATTCATCAAAGGTCATCAAAGTTGTTCAAATCTTCCTGCCTAAATGGCCAACAAATACTTTTCTCAGTCTGCTTAATGCCCAAGTAGCTTTGCGTCTTCAAGATAAATACTGATCAAGGATTGGAAGAGGAAAGTAATAGAAAAAAGAATGAGAGTTTTCAAAAATATTTCATTACTCTATCCAGTTTAGCAAGAAAGAGAACCTGCACTCACAAGCTGATTAGACCAATAGAAAATAGGATAAATCTGACGGAGTTTTCTGAAGACAGTTATTAAAAGTAGCAAAGTTACTTCTGAGGCATTTTTATTACAGTATAACCAGTTTTCCAATAATATTCAAATCCAGAATTAACTGAAGACCATGACTGTATAGCTTTTCTGTTGATTCACTCCATAGCTGAAGAGAGGACCTGATAGACAGGAGTTATATTAGGAATGGACCGAGCTACTCCTTGTAAGGTTGGATAAATATTACTGGATGTCACAGAACTTATCAGAGAATACAGAGGGAAAACCTGCCTTTTCCAGATTGGCCTAAAATGGAATGTTCCTCATTAATCCCACAGTGTCTTACGATGCCCTTAGTGAACTAGGCTTTACCCATTTGACCACTTCACAGCTATGGGGGGGGGGGGGGCGAAAACAAACAAACCAAAAAACCCCACCACTTTAATTACAGAGAAATACGAGTATCAGTAGAATCCTCTCGTACCAGAGTTTATTTCTCCAAGTTCCTCATTCTGTTTGAAATTAAATCACATTTCAACTGAGTCATAACTTTCTTTATTCCGCAAGATTTGTTCTAATCAATTAAATTTCTTTTAATCAAGCCTTCTCACTCTATTCTCAAAGAAGATTCTTTGTTATTCTTTCACGCATCATAATTTTGGAACAAATCCCACTACTGATTTGTGAAGCCATCTTTCCAGTTGACTTCCTTTTAAGACACTTACCCAACTACACAAACCTATCTTTACGACAGTCAAAAGAATTGTGAAGGCATTTAACATTCTACGTTTCAGATCTCTGTACAACACTCATGATCTTCTTTCCTAAGTCTTTTTTTTAAATCTAATTTTCATCATGTCTTGTCTTTTTCTATTGCACAATAGCCTTATAGAGAAAAAAAACCCTTAATTCTCTTTTCTGTTCTGCATTTAATCTTCATTATATTTTTTGGCAGCCAACACATAGCAGTAATATTGTTACTTGGTTACTTGGATATCCAAAGGCTATATTGACTAGGCAAAGAGTGTGAGGCATCTACATCTTAAAAGACATGAAGATTCCTGTTGGTGGAATGTTTTGTTTTGTTTTGTTTTGTTTTGTTTTGTTTTGTTTTGTCTGTAAATACATACCAATAACATCTGTGTCATTCAATCACTTACAGATTTGCTTTATGTATACACATTCATTCTTTCATGTGATACATGGTAAGGAAGGACTGATGAAAGAGAAACACACTGATACAGAATATTTACACACACCAGCTATTACTTTATGATGATATATAAGTGTCTTCCATCAATCTGGACAGCACTTGCTAAATGTGAGAATGCCACAGTGGTCATTTCCATTGTAATAACAGCCACGTTCATCTCAGATCCAGGGATACCCAGGAACTCACAACATCATCAACTTTTAGGAAAGCCACAGTGCTACAGACAGATGGAAAAGGAAATAGAGTAGGTTTGCAGAAAATCATTTTCGATCTGCAGAAATCCTGAGGATGTAAGGAAATGCGACATGGCCCATACCCCACAACGACGCACATACACACACTAAAGTTACGATAAACGGAGCTAGGAGCTCAGGAGTAGATCAGATGTGGGAGAGAAAAAAGATTGGCTCTTTCTACGTACGCGTTACATACATCTAAGTCCACAGTTCTCAGAAGCATAT